ATCGCCATGAAATATTTCTTGCAAGAGTTATTTGTTCTCAAGCCATGGAACATTTTCTGTGCTATCAAAATATTATCTGATATTAGTCTACTTGACACAAAAACCGATTGTGTTTCCGATACCAGTTTTGGTAATAACTTCCGCAAGCGTTGACATAGAACTTTGGAGATTACCTTATATCCAACATTGCACAGACTTATAGGCCTTAGTTCCGTCATTCGAGTTGGTCTCTCGACCTTCGGAATCAGACATATGTTTGTCATATTTAGCCTCTTATCAAATACTCCTGATTCAAAGAACTGGTTTACTTGATTGACCACGTCACCTTTAATAATATCCCAAGATTTCTGAAAAAATAGTGCGGTCATTCCATCTGGTCCTGGAGCTTTTTTTGAATTCATCATAAATAGTACTTCTTTTACTTCCGCATTTGTTGCCGGTTTTGTAAGCTCCTCATTCTCCTGGTCCGTTATTTCCGAGTCTAACTCTCCCAAAATATTCTCAAAATCGTTTGGTGATGTAGACTTAAAAAGTTCTGAGAAATATTCTACAGCAGTTTTCTCAACCTGTTATTCCCCCGTGACCCAGTTGCCCTGACTATCATGTAGCCCGACAAACCGATTAATCGTCCTTCGTTATTTTGTGATGGCGTGTTAATATCTGGTATTTAGATCTCCACATCTGTTCCAAAGATTTCGACTTTTCTATTGCCAATAGTCTTCCTCCTCTCGGTATGCTTCCCTTAGTTTTTATGTGATCTCGTTAAGTTTCTCTTGAGTCCTTGTGTCGTCCGTCTGAATCTCCTCCAAATGTTGTTGAAGTTCTTTTATCTTGTCTCTGCCAAATGGTACACAAGTTTTGTCGCCATTTGAAAATCTCATGTCGACATGTGATAATCCTATCTACCAATGATGGGTCCAATTGATCATTATGTTCATTCCAGCCTTTTGATATAGCATCCATTAAACCTTCCTTTCCAATCCATCTCTTGTCAAACCGAAATTACTTTTTCCGTTTAATTTTCCTTGAAACTATTGTGGCTACAATAGGTCGATGGTCCGATCCTATCATTCTTAAATATTCCACATATGAAAACGGAAAAAGTTCATGCCATTCCTCCGTTGCCAGACCTCTATCCAGTCTGCATCGAACATTTTGTCCATTACGTCTCCCTTTCCAGGATAATGTATTTCCCTTGTTTGGAAAGTCAAGTAATCCACAATTGCTAAGCATTGTATTAAATCCATTAAATGATGACGCTTGTCTTATTTTTTCTCTTTGTTTCTCATGATTTCCAGTAATTTTATTAAAATCCCCAATTAAAAACCACGGTTCATTTCTATTTAGACTGATTCTTGTTAATCTTTCCCAAACTTGATCTTGAACTGGATCACCATATACAAAAGTCATAAATTAATTTTCCTTCCCAATGGGCCTCTATATCGATCATCCTTTTATTAGAAAATAAAACTTTGACATCAAAGGTTTTATTACAAAACAGTGCCAGTCCTCCACTGGCTCCACACGGTTCAACCGTAAACAATAAATCATACCCAAAATGCAATTGAAATTGTTCAACAAAATTAAAACACTGCTTAGTCTCAGAAAGAAAAAGAAAATCTGGCTTAAATTTCCTCCATATCTCCCTAAGATAGCTTATTGTGTACCTATTACCCAAACCCTGGCAATGCCAGCTTAACACCTGCATCTAAACTTTGTAGTTAGTGCCCTGCCCCTCTAACGGAGCCTCACTCCTCCTTTGCTGCACCCCCTTTCTCTCCACCACGTTTAGTTTCCTTCAAGAAACCTCTCTTCTTTAATGTGCTCTCCCTGGCCGGGAAACTCTCGTATCCTCTCCTTGGTTCTCCGGTACCTGACCTTTGCCTTTATGTAACTCCCCTTGTGAGCGATTCTGATCTGTTTGAATTTTCCCGCTTCCTCCCGCGCCCCAAGAGCTCCTTTATAACTCTTTGAACCCTCGTCTTCTTTCTCCTCTGGATAATGTGACTCCTCTCTTATTTCTCTCCTTGGTCTGACGGTAGGGCACCTGCTCGAATCATGACAGAGGCTAAGGCATACGCGACAGTACCCATGTAGACGCTCATACCGGAGGATCACCGTAGTTTCTTCACCACTATGGAACTCCACTGTTGTTTCCAGAACTATTGCTTTGAACCCATCAATGGTGAGTTGAACTCTTCCACCATCCACATCTACCTGCTTCACAACTCCAATAGCTTCACCAATACTGTGAAAGGTTGGCTCAGCCCAAAAGTGAAGCGGGATCCCCATCATTCGAACCCAGAAGGTAAGCTCAGACGGGTAGTTTGTCTCCATTGTTGGTTCCCACCTGACCAATGACACCATCCATCCATCAAAGTGGTAAGGCTCCATTTTTAGTATCGCTTGTATATCCTCTTCTTCATCAAAATCAAACTGAAACCTCCCCATCCCTAGGTCCGCTCCTGCCACACGGTCTTCCACCTTCCATATCCTCGGCATCATGAACAGAAGCGCCTTCATCTCTTGTGCTGTCGGATTCATACACCGACCAATAAGAGTGCGTTGATAGCCCTTAATGAGCTCGGAGTTATCAAAGCAGGGTACTGTAATCTTTAGCCGCGGCGCCAGAGTGCCCTTCCCTTTATTGGAACCTCTGTTAACAATCTGAGCGGATTGAGACATCATGATGCCTGAGAAAACACGGTTTAGAGACTCCAACGAGTATAAGAGAATATCAAGTTGAGAGTAGGATGCGATGTTGTTCCCGTCATAGAACTGATTTATACTATCCATATGTCTTCTCTTATCTCCTGATATGGTATCTAGTAGTAAGCCCCCTTGATTATCATACAAATTTGCATAAACTGTGCCAATTATTGAACCAAATATCCCATCATATCCCATTACCTCCATCATGGCCACCGAGAGACTTCCTATATTTCCCTTCTTCAGGATAAGGGAAGTTGCAATCACCCATATTTCAAATCGGGCACCTTCCAATCCCTTCGACCGTAACACACGGGCAAAGATGTTAGTTTTTAATTCCTTTATTCCCTGAATCATGATTGGTCTTCCCTGTATCCATCGCAAGATCCTACCACCCAGAAAAACTTCGTTAGTTATTGCTAGCCAAAGATTGCGGATCCTATTCTTCAATCGTGATCTCAAAGATTTTAATTTCGCCAAAAGAATGAAATTATAAGAACACATGACCTGACAAGATATCAATCCATTTAATCTTCCTTCGCAAATCCGAGATACCCAGAATCTTAAATCCAGACAGATCTTGTTGATTGCCTCAATATGATTCCTCGATCTCCTATAAAATTCCCATCTGAATATTTGTCCCCGTTTCTTTTCCTTTTGCCCCCGTGATCTTCCAATCCTCCTGAGTGAGAAATTAAGAGTCCCCAAATTTAGCACCATAAACCATTTAATCTCGAATCTCCTCCATCGTATGATCAGAAACACTTTCGTAGTGAACACCCAGAATAAGCCGATACCCTCGTTACCCTGATTAACTCCCATCTTCCGCCATCCCATCCGATCCCCTTGATGAATCAATCCGGAGATTGGGGAACCCTAAATCGCTTCTGGAGTCGCCATATTTAAGAGAAAAGACGTTACAAAAATTTATATAGTTAACAAGTCTAAAATTAAAAATTACTGTAATGTAAAAATAGTCTATATAGTCTAATAAAAAAATTCCGTTTGTGCCATAATTTTGAATTTAATAATATATAATTATAAGTTGATTTTTTTTGAACAAAAATTAATATAAACCGATTATTGCTTAGCCCAAAAATATTTTATAAAAAGAAATCTACGCAAGTAAGCAGGTCCAAAATCTAATTTCTCTTGGAACCTTAAACACATTGGCATTAGGATAAAATCATTTGGTCATCTCCTACAAAGAAGAAAAAAACATTACCGTGGAGGAAGCGAAGAGATTACAATCTGCCGTGCTAATTAAGACTCCATTTCGGTGCGATCTTCTTATTCTTCTACTACTGTTCCTTGATTTTACTCATCTTCAAAAACCTTGAAAAAACCCTAACCGAACAGTTATCGCATGTGATTTTAAGTTTTTTTTTTCTAGCTCTCTCTCTCTCTCTCTCCTAGTTGTATTTTGACCGAACTTTTCTACCCATCCAGATCAGCTAGAAGCAACCTATGTCTATGTGTATATTTTTCATTTCGTACTTGGCATGTGTTCGTATTTCATTTCGTATATTTTTCTTGAACTTGTTGATGCAGATTACTTGTTTGAAGAAGAAAGAAAAATGGTGGGTCGGAAGAAAAAACCCAAACTTTGTGACAATGGGTCACAACAAGACTTGATAAGCCACTTACCCGAAGCTTTGATATCTGAGATACTTACTCATCTCCCCACAAAGGATGCTGTGAGAACAAGCGCTTTAGCCACCAGATGGAGAAATCTCTGGCAATGTGTTCCCGGAGTACTAGACTTAGACACCCGTGCGTTCTCGAACTTGGATGCATTTGTGAGTTTCGCTGGAAAGTTCTTCGAAACCCAAAGGGAGTACTCATGTACACGCAAACTCAAGTTAAGTATTCACTATCCTAACACTGAGTCTTTTCTCACCCCATGGATCGATAATGTGACTAAGCGTAGGATTCAACAACTTAATGTTTACTGTGAGGGCCCTCATTGCGTTGTTAATATACCTGTGGGGATATACACCTCCGAGACACTGGTAGAGTTAAAGCTCTCTCGAGTCGTCTTGCCTGAAGCCGAGTTTGTCTCCTTGCCTTGCCTAAAGACAATGCATTTAGAATGTATTAGGTATCTCAATGCTGAGACTTTGGAGAATCTTATCACAAACTCTCCTGTTCTTGAAGATCTAACCATCATCAGGTTGTATGATATTGAGAATGCTATACACGCGCGCTCTAAATCGCTGAAGAGGATTGACATAAATGAGTACACACAAGTTGTGATTGATGCTCCTCTAATTCAGTGTTTGACGACTAGGTTTTTCTCAACTAAGAACTTTCAGATCCTCGGTTCGGGCTTCCCTGCAAAGCTAGATATTGATGTCCTCTGTCGTAATGCGGTTTACTCTAAGAGCTTCATTTTCAGTATCCTCATTGATATTTCTAGGGTCAAAAACCTAGTTATCAGTAGTCTTCTATTGAAGGTACACATTTCGACATTTTGAGCATTTTAAATAAATAATATATGTTTCCACTAAAAAGTTTCTAACCAGCAGTTTTTTGTTTGTTTTTGGTTTTGCTTGTGCTACCAGTACCTAGTTATATTCCCGGAATGTGGACCGATGCCTTGGTTACGTGACCTAACCTATTTGAACGCTAAATTCTCCATACTCGAACTTGAAATATTGCCAAAAGTTCTTGAGAACTGCCCAAAACTGGAGTCTCTCATATTGGTAATGAGTAGCTTTTACCCCCTCTGATTTTAAGCATATTATTGTTTGTGAAAAGCCTTTGCCTCAATTTTGTTTTCTTCTGTCTTTTTGCAGGAAGTGGTGAAAGACATGCGTCATAATATGAACACAGAACCATATATGATGTTTTCAACAGTGCCTTCGTGTTTCGTAACATCGCTCAAGTATGTGGAACTAAAACGTTTGATCTCAAAGTATGAAGGAGAAATAGAGCTGGTAAGATACTTGCTGAAGAATTCAACAGTCCTGGAGAAACTAAAGCTTGATACTCACTATTCGAAAAAGACAATGAGTGCTTTCCTTAAAAAAGCCATTGCAATGCCAAGATCCTCAAGCGCTTGCGAAGTCATTGTTCCCTAATTGTTCAAAACAACATTTCGTTTGAGGTGTTTCAGCCATTGTGCAGTTAAGTCTTTCTTATGTGTTACTTGTGGTTGCTGCTCATGTAATAATTACCAAATTACCATTTTTTTTTAACTTGATAAATATTTTCCCAAATTATTCAACCATAGTGAAAATGTCAAAGAAAGGTTGTTTATAAACAAGTTAAGCAATGGTCTTTTGTTTATATGTTCCTTTGTGCTTGCTGCTTTTTTTATTAGTTTCTTTGAAAAAAATATAGTCACATGAAAAAATGCGGGTTTGTAGTTTTGGAAATTTGATTTTGCATGTTTGACAAAAATACATGATTTTAGAAAATTGGTCCTAAAACATGATTTACTGAAAATACAGGTTTGTGGATTTGGCAAGCAACGTGCTTTTGCGGATTTTACAAGGTTTACATGTTTTAGCGGGTTTTATAGGTTTTGATAGAAAAATGTGATTTTATTGATTGTATTAAAAATACAGATTTACGGGTTAGACGATAAACGCAATTTTGCAGGTTTGACAAAACACGTAATTTTAGAAATTTGGCCATCGAATACGGTATTATAGTGTTGGGGAAACATAATTTTAGATTTTGTTAAAACGTACATATTTACAGTTTTGACAGGAAAACACGGTTTGATAGAAAATACTACTTTGTTAACAAATCCATTAAATTAAATTAAATTAAATTAGTTTGTTAACAGATGATACCAATACTAATAAAATTTAAATTATTTTCGAAATTATTTTAAAATCTTGATTCTTACATAACAACTTAATATAATTATCACATATACATGACATGAATAACTAATATGTAATATGTATAATTATTATAATCAATTTGTTATCTATACTATTAAAAGAGAAGCACTACTTAAAAATGTCTACAAACTACTATAATATATTTAATAAATATGATCATTTATAGTCAATGATGAATATGTAATCATTTTTTTTGTTACATATATACATACTATGAAAAAGTATTATGTAAATATTTTGTTTTGTTTTGTTAATGATTTTGTTTTGTGAGAAATCATGGGTTTGCAGATTTGACAAACACAATTTTTGTAGATTTTAGGTTTTATAAGTTTTAACGTGTTTTATAAATTTTAGCAGAGAATATGGTTTTACAAAAAAATGTCGTTTGACAAAAAAAAATAAAAATATGCTTTTGTATATTTAGCATAAATACATGATTTTAGAAATTTGGTCGTAAATCATGATTTTGCAGATTTTATAGGATTTGCGGAATGCAAGAAACACAATTCTGCGGATTTTATAGGTTTTGCAGGTTTTAGTGGGAAAATGTAGTCATACGGAAAAATGTGGGTTTGCTGGTTTGAAAATTCGATTTTGCACGTTTGGTAAAAACACATGATTTTAGAAATTTGGTCCTAAAACACGATTTTATGAAAAAAACACAGTTTTATGGATTTGGCGGGAAACATGATTTTCCGGATTTTACGAGGTTTACATATTTTGGTGGGTTTTATAGGGTTTGATGGAAAAATGTGGTATTATTGATTTTACTGAAAATGCAGTTTTGCAAGTTTGACGAGAAACACAATTTTGCATGTTTGACAAAAACAGGTAATATTAAAAATTTGGCCATAGAATACAATTTTATGGTGTTGGAAGAAAACATAATTTTTTATTTTGTTAAAAAATATGAGTTTGCAGTTTTGAAATGAAAATACTGTTTGATGAAAAAATGCTATTTTTACAGTTGTTACAGGATTTCCTGGTTTTAGTACAACAACGTGATTTTATGATTTTGCGAAAATTTTTATTTCGATAAAAAACTATGATTTTATGGTTTTGATAAAAAACTGAATTTTGTGGTCTAAATTAAATGGTGTTTTAGACTTTTAATTTTTGAGATTCAAATGGTGCATCCAAACTCTATTTTTTAGCATTTTAAATATCCAAATTATAAGATATTATTCATTTTGCATTCAAATACATTATCTACATTCTGATTTAAAAATATTTAAAAGAACAATAGTTTAACAATTGCATCCAGATGCAAAAACAAACAAAGTCTAAGTAAATATTGAAATCTTAATTACAAACAAATAAAATCTTTTTTGCATTAAAAACTATATTTTGAAATATTTGTTAAAAAACTTAACATAAAAATCTGTTAATCAATATATATATATATTTATAAAATCAAGCATAAATAATTTTAAGAATAGAAAACCATAATGTAAAAATACTCTATATAGTCTAATAAAAAAATTTCGTTTGAACCATAATTTTGGATTTAATATTATATAAGATGATTTTTTTGAACAAAAGTTAATTTAGCCCAAAAATATTTTATGAAAAGAAACCGCGCAAGTACGCGGGTCCAAAATCTAGTTTCTCTTAAAACCTTAAACACACATTGGTCTTAGGATAAAATCATTTGGTCATCTCCTACAAAGAAGATAAAAGCATTACCGTGGAGGAAGCCGAAGAAGTTACAATCTGCCGTGCTAATTAAAACTCCATTTCGGTGCGTTCTTCTTATTCTTCTACTACTGTTCCTTGATTTTACTCATCTTCAAAAACCTTGAAAAAACCCTAACCGAACAATTATCGCATGTGATTTTAAGTCTCTCTCTCTCTCTCTCTCTCTCTCTCTCTCTCTCTCTCTCTCTCCTAGTTGTATTTTGACCGAACTTTTGTACCCATCCAGATCAGCTAGAAGCAACCTATGTCTATGTGTATATTTTTCATTTCGTACTTGGCATGTGTTCGTATTTCATTTCGTATATTTTTCTTGATCTTGATGATGCAGATTAGTTGTTTGAAGAAGAAAAAGAAAATGGTGGGTCGAAAGAAGAAAAAACCCAAACTTTGTGACAATGGGTCACAACAAGACTTGATAAGCCACTTACCCGAAGCTTTGATATCTGAGATACTTACTCATCTCCCCACAAAGGATGCTGTGAGAACAAGCGCTTTAGCCACCAGATGGAGAAATCTCTGGCAATGTGTTCCCGGAGTACTAGACTTAGACACCCGTGCGTTCTCGAACTTGGATGCATTTGTGAGTTTCGCTGGAAAGTTCTTCGAAACCCAAAGGGAGTACTCATGTACACGCAAACTCAAGTTAAGTATTCACTATCCTAACACTGAGTCTTTTCTCACCCCATGGATCGATAATGTGACTAAGCGTAGGATTCAACAACTTAATGTTTACTGTGAGGGCCCTCATTGCGTTGTTAATATACCTGTGGGGATATACACCTCCGAGACACTGGTAGAGTTAAAGCTCTCTCGGGTCGTCTTGCCTGAAGCCGAGTTTGTCTCCTTGCCTTGCCTAAAGACAATGCATTTAGAATGTATTAGGTATCTCAATGCTGAGACTTTGGAGAATCTTATCACAAACTCTCCTGTTCTTGAAGATCTAACCATCATCAGGTTGTATGATATTGAGAATGCTATACACGTGCGCTCTAAATCGCTGAAGAGGATTGACATAAATGAGTACACACAAGTTGTGATTGATGCTCCTCTACTTCAGTGTTTGACGACTAGGTTTTTCTCAACTAAGAACTTTCAGATCCTCGGTTCGGGCTTCCCTGCAAAGCTAGATATTGATGTCCTCTGTCGTAATGCGGTTTACTCTAAGAGCTTCATTTTCAGTATCCTCATTGATATTTCTAGGGTCAAAAACCTAGTTATCAGTAGTCTTCTATTGAAGGTACACATTTCGACATTTTGAGCATTTTAAATAAATAATATATGTTTCCACTAAAAAGTTTCTAACCAGCAGTTTTGTGTTTGTTTTTGGTTTTGCTTGTGCTACCAGTACCTAGTTATATTCCCGGAATGTGGACCGATGCCTTGGTTACGTGACCTAACCTATTTGAACGCTAAATTCTCCATACTCGAACTTGAAATATTGCCAAAAGTTCTTGAGAACTGCCCAAAACTGGAGTCTCTCATATTGGTAATGAGTAGCTTTCACCCCCTCTGATTTTACGCATATTATTGTTTGTGAAAAGCCTTTGCCTCAATTTTGTTTTCTTCTGTCTTTTTGCAGGAAGTGGTGAAAAACACGCGTCATAATATGAACACAGAACCATATATGATGTTTTCAACAGTGCCTTCGTGTTTGGTAACATCGCTCAAGTATGTGGAACTGAAACGTTTGATCTCAAAGTATGAAGGAGAAATAGAGCTGGTAAGATACTTGCTGAAGAATTCAACAGTCCTGGAGAAACTAAAGCTTGATACTCACTATTCGAAAAAGGCAATGAGTGCTTTCCTTAAAGAAGTCGTTGCAATGCCAAGATCCTCAAGCGCTTGCGAAGTCATTGTTCCCTAATTTGTCAAAACAACATTTCGTTTGAGGTGTTTCAGCCATTGCAGTTAAGTCTTTCTTATGTGTTACTTGGTGGTGCTGCTCATGAAATAACTACCGAATTACCATTCTTTTTTTTGAACTTGATAAATATTTCCCCATTATTCAAGCATAGTGAAAATGTCAAAGGAATGTTGTTTAGTAACAAGCTAAGCAATGGTCTTTTGTTCATATGTTACTTTGTGCTTGCTGCTTTATTTTATCAGTTTCTTTGAAACATCATATTTTATTTGTTTATGTTCATATGACTTTATTGGATATGATCCTATAGTGGCTCGGATCTGAAAGCATTTATAAACCAAGAAGATATTTGCTCTAAATGAGTTTATTGAAAGAGATTAGCTAAAGATGAAAAATAGTAATAGCTCATAGAGCTTTATTATAATAAACAAAGGAAGAGAGAAAGGAAAGCTTAAATTGTCACCAAGAACTCAAATGATTTCGATTGTATTTCGTAAAATGGTGAAGAAACACATGGGCTTTACACCTTATAAACTTTAGAGTCTCAGTATTTTAGAGCTTGAGTGTTAATGGAGGAATAGAAAATCGTTGGACACCTCTCTTTGTTCTTCAACACAAATCTTCTCAACCTCCATGGATCTAAAATCATTGTTCTAATTTACTAAAAGAACATTTTCTTGACTAGAAAAAAAAAAACTTTGACAACAACAACAAAAAAAAGGAAAAAGAATTTAGAAGGACATGTCAAATGCGGCCCATATAGAAATCACAATGCGGCCCAAATTGAGTTGCCAGCGGCCCATATAGAAATCACAATGCGGCCCAAATTGAGTTGCCATGGTTCGATTCCCAGTTTCCCCCATTTAAAAGTGTTTTCTCATTACCGTCGTCGTCGGCGAAATCACGATCCTTAACCTTCTTACATTCCCGGCAAGTGATTCCATTCCCATATTGAAATCAGCTTTAACCCAAATTGAGTCGTCATGTTCGATCCCCAGTTTCATACTCCACTGTAAGCGTTTCCATTACCGTCGATCTGTACAGTTCCGGCAGGTGATTACATACCGGGCCGGCCCAAAAAACTGAAGGTTCATCTTCTTATTACTTGACCCTTTTTACATTTTCTTTGTATCATCATCATCTTTTGTTGTAAAATCAGCTTCACAAGACCTTGATAACCCTAACCCTGTCCTTGACTAGTCGCAATGTGGTTTACTGGTTTAGTTTCTCTATCTCTCTCTCTCTCACTTGTGCTACCTGTATAAAAGATGAATGTTTTGAGTCTTGATTTTACTTTATGGGTTTCATTTTTGTTCATTAGAGAATTTTGAAAGTTCTCTCTTTAATTAGTGGAAGCTAGGAGAGTTTTGATTACTAGTCGAACTGAAGTTGAGATGTCTCGCCGTTACCCTTTGCATCTAAATTTTCTTCCTTTGAAACTTTCGGTTTGCAGATTTTCGTTGTTGTGAAAAGTTTTTCTACAGAAGAAAAGAAGAAGATGGTCGGTGGAAAAGAGAAAACGGAACAAGCTCGTTCCAATAGATTCAAGGAAGACAGGATAAGCCAGTTGCCTGATCCTCTGATCTGTGACATCCTTTCTCATCTTCCCATAAAAGAAGCTGTGAAGACAAGCGTTTTATCCAATAGATGGACGAGTCTCTGGCTTTGGGTTCCAAGTTTGAAGTTGAGTTCCCTAAAGTTCCCAGATTTCAATGACTTTAAGCGTTTTGGGAACAAGTTTTTGGATCCCGATAGGGCTTCATGCGTACACAACCTCGTCTTAGACATTTACGGAGATGATGGCGACACCTCTTATCTAACTTCATGGGTTGGTGCTGCAGTCAAGCGTAAGATCCAGTATCTACATCTTCGGTATCATCCAAAAGAGCATCTTTGTGAGATGCCCATAAGCCTGTTTACCTGTGAGACACTGGTGAACTTAAGACTTGTCTTGGGGTTGACCTTGCCCGATGCACTGTTTTTTTCCTTGCCTTGTCTGAAGATTATGCACTTGGTAGATGTTTTGTTTCCCAATGAGTCCACTTTCGAGAGACTTGTCTCATCCTGCCCTGTCTTGGAAAACTTAACGGTCTGCTTAGCTGGGAGTGACGCATGTTTCTATCGGGTGCGCTCTCGGTCACTGAAGAAGCTTGAGTTTATACGAGCTGCTGCTTACCAGCTTGGTTCTGTTTCGGGAGCTGTGATTGATGCTCCTCTACTAGGCTGTTTAATGATCTTCGACAATGTATCAAGTAGCGTTGTTGTAAACAACCTGGAGACCAACGCCAAGTTATATCTTTACGTCGACTTTGGTCTGGAGACTTTTGATGAAGCAAATGATTCGGCGAGGAGAAGTCGCATCTGCAGTTTTCTTCCCGGGATATCGAGGCTCAGAGATATGACGATAGATGCAGGCACTTTCAAGGTAATATGTGTATCGGGGTCTCTATAAGACATGCTCAGTTTCATTTTCTATAATGCAAAAAACAAAAAGTGTCTAACCCACAAATACTGTCTTTTGGTTTCACAGGTCATTCTTGATTATTCCGAATTAGAACCGATGTCTCAACTTCGTTCCTTGTCCCGACTGGGTATTGCTCTCGGTGTATCCGATTTGAAGTGTTTACCAATCTTTCTCGAGAGCTGCCCGAACTTGAAATCCCTCACCCTGGTATTGATCTACTATAATCATATGATTCTTTTTCATCTGCGTGAGGATTATATATATCTTCTCATCGCATTTTCATCCTCTGTTTTCACCTCAGACATTGGATGATTATGAGGAAATGCGTTCCGAGGAGATGAATCAAGTCAGTGATTCATCTGTTCCTGAGTGTTTGTTGTCGTCGCTCGAGTCTGTTCATTTCGATGCCCCAATCTCAACATTTGCTCTAGCGACGAAGTTGGTAAACTACTTCCTAGAGAATTCTGCAATCCTCAAGAAACTCACTCTACATGTGAACCGTGGTTCGATTGGCTCTGACATCTCCAAGGAGCTCCTCGAGATCCCAAGACGCTCTGCCACATGTCAAGTTGTCGTCGTCTGATTGATAAAGCTTAGATAGAAAATTTGTCTTTTGGTTAGTCAGTTTGATGTGGAACTTCTCATGCCACACAAGAAATGCAAGTTTTAATCTTTCTTGTGATTGTTCCCTTTGGAGATGAAACTGTTTTAAGGTACTTTTGCAAGAAATAGTGATGTTGTTGTTGTTGTTCTTAATGCAATCAAGTTTGTTAGTTCCTTAATCTCTTGAGGCAATCGCTTTATGAACGATTCTAATTTGCTCAGGAATTGCAGAGATAAAGAAGAATGAAACTCAATTATTGAACCGGATGCTGATCGAAGTTCTTTTGGTTGAACCCGTTAGTAAACCAAACTTCAATACTGTATATTGTATTAATTAATTGGACAATTACGGTTTACGGCCCATACAGATGTTTTGGCCCAAAATTGCAGACAAAGTTCCGGCAAGTGGAGATATACCAAATATCCAGCAACGGATTCCATTCCCGCCGCCGAAATCACGATCTGCAGTTCCGGCGAGTGATTGCGTTCGGCCACAACACGGTAGGTATTTCTTCTTCTTACTCGACCCTTTTTTTTTTGTTCTTTCGATAGTCATTTTCATAAGACCATAAAAACCCTAAGCCTAATTTGAATAGTCTCTATGTGGTTCGTCGTAGATGTTACTTTATGGATTTCGTTAGATTTAATGTAGATTTTTGAAACTTCTTTTCTCTAGAATTTGAATTAAAAGATACATGTTTGATTAGTTTTGGTTAAATTTACATTCTTTTTTCCTTTTCTCAAATTTGTGTTGTTCTGAATAGTTTTCTACAGGAGAAGAGACATGGTTGGTAGAGAGAAAGTGTAACATCCGTGATTGACTAAGTCAGCACACTTCTTGGCGATTAACAAGATGGATAATGCTGCGGTTCTAGCCAAGAGATATGTTGAGGAGATAGTCCAGTTACATAGAGTGCCGGCTAGTATTGTATCCGACAGAGACTCCAAGTTTACTTCGGCTTTCTGGAGAGCCTTGCACAAGGCGATGGGAACTAAGTTACACATGAGTACGACTTACCATCCGTAAACTGATGGACAGTCCGAGAGAACTATCCGGATACTTGAGGACTTGCTGCAAGCTTGTGTCCTGGATTGGGGCGGCAAATGGGAACATTATCTGCACTTAGCCGAATTCTCTTATAACAATAGCTACCAAGCTAGCATCGGGATGTCGCCTTATGAAGCTTTGTATGGCCGGCCTTGTAAGACTCCCTTATGTTGGACCCAAGTGGGGGAGCGAAGCATCTTTGGCCGAGACTTTGTTGAGGAGACAACTGAAAGAATCCGAGTATTGAAGCTTAAGATAAAAGAAGCTCAGGACAAACAGAAGAGTTATGCGGATAAGCACCGGAAAGAGTTAGAATTTGCAGTGGGCGACATGGTTTACCTCAAGACAGTCACCTACAAGGGAAAAGACCGAGCTTCACTGAATGGGAAGCTAAGTCCGAGGTACATGGGACCGTATCAGATTCTTGAGAGGATCGGACCAGTGGCGTATAGGCTGGATTTGCCACCATCTATGGAACAGTTTCACAAGGTGTTCCACGTTTCTATGCTAAGGAAATGCATAAGTGACCGGGATAACGTGGTGCCTGAACCACCTTCGGACTTAAAGAAAAACATGACCATTGAAGGGAGACCAGTCCGGATTGTGGGAAGGAAAGTTAAGGCTGAACGTAGGAAGAAAGTTTAAATGATCCAGGTCGTTTGGGATTGTGATGGTGAAGAAGAAGTAACCTGGGAACCAGAGGCGAGAATGAAAGCAGAATTTCCTAAGTGGTTCGATAAACTTAAGGAAAATCCGGAGTTAAGTGGACCAAAGAAGACTCGAGGACGAGTCTCAGCTAAGGGGGGGGGGGGGGGGGGGGGGGGGGGGGGGGGAGAGTTGTAACATCCGTGATCCTTGGATCAAACTGAATCAGTCGGATTAAGGCCATGAATATGAAAAATCAGGGGGTTGTCCGAGTAAAGATTGGGCTATCGGTTGGAAAGAGGTATAGCCGAGCTAAAACGAGCTGGAACGAGCCAGTTCAGCTGATTCGAGTGTTTAGCCGGGAAAGAATGGTTCAGACAAGTGAGAATCCGTCAGTCCGCGAATTTCGGATAGTTGGTCGAATTTCCGACAGGTCAGTTTACTGAAGTCCGAGCTAGAAGGGAGCTGAGCTAAGTATGTCCGAGTGAAAATGGGATTGGACAAGGAAGCTTTGGACAAACCGTGTTTCTCGGGCCTTTGGTCGGGATTCGGACAGGACGGTTATGTTTGTTGGAGCTGAGCTGGGATGGTCGAATGACTTTGTGGAATTATCGGTTGAATTATGAAAATATTCGAGAAGTTAATAAATAGCCGAGTGGGAGCGGTTATATCCGAGGGAATTATTGAAAAAGGCACGAACAAGATTGGCGGGAACAGTTATCGGTTTCATCCGAGAGAATTGATCGGCTAAAATCAATCAGAACCGGCTATTGAGTGAACCAAGCAGATTTCGTCGGTTCAAGTGAACGGGAACATTAATCTGGTCCGGCTAAGTTAATTGATCGAGGGAAAAAGTACGGGAACGGTTCTGGTATTCGGTTACTCGAGGGAAAACACAGCGGATTGAGTTATGGATCAGTTATATCCGAGAACCGTCATTTAACAAGGGAAATCACAGAAACTTCATTATTCGGCTAAGTATCCGAAAGAAAAACAGAGAGAAAAGAGAAAGAACAACCGAAAGAGATTTTAACCGAGAGTTTGTGATCCGACCGTGAGATATCCGAGAGTTCATCGAATCCGATCATGGGATAGCCGGGTGATTCCATCTATCGCCGAGGAATTTTGTCTGCGTCCGAGAGAAACGTTCTGAATCAGGGAGTTCTTCTGGAAACCGTCGGCTATCTTCTTGAATCTACAACAGCCGAGAAACAAAGGTGAGTGCGTGACCGTTGTTACAGATTTAGAGTCGTTCTCTAGCATAGATTCACTTAATCCTTGATTGATTAGACTGTCTTGGCTGAATACTATTATTATTCGATGTTCTGCTTGATAATAGTAAGGCTTTGTGCCCTGGTAAAGGCTTTGTACCGTAGTAGAAGGCTTTGTGCCGTGAAGGCTTTGTGCCGTACTAAGGCTTTGTGCCGTACTAAGGCTTTGTGCCGAAGCCATGTGAGCCAGAATATAGACTGTTTGAGAATTATCGATTATATGAATGGACTGTTGGATGCGATTTTCTTGACTGTGGCTAAGTGGGACGGGATGACCGCTCTCACTAAGCAATTCTGTTGCTTATGCCTCCTTTTCGTGGATGCAGGTGATGTAGCCCGTGATGGAAACTGTTCTGGACCGCAGGACTAAGGCAAGGAAGAAGGATGTTAGGCTTGGGTAGACTATGGTCGAGTAGAACAATGTAATAGCTTATAGCAAACTGTATTAGCTTATAGCAACCCTTCATTGTATGCTCGAACCTTGTTTTTACCTAAGTAATGCATTGTGTTTAAAATGGCTTGAATGAATCGAAAGAAAACGCTAAAAATGACTAAGTATGGAAAAAACGTAAAAATGCCCGAGACTGGCCAGGAAGTGGCCGAGTCAAATCCTTACCGCAGTTCGGATTTCCGGGTTAGGGCGTTTCAATTTGGTATCAGAGCGTGGTCGGTTCTAGGATAAGTCTTTTGCATAAGTGGGTTAATGGGAAACATCCTTCCAGCCTGATGTCTCGCGGTAAGTTGTTTTCTGTGTTAACTAAGTTGATTGTGGCGAGCTTAGTTATGAGATTTCACCTTGCAGATGGCTAAGGGACAGCATTCTGGTAGGAGGACTGCGAGAGAGACTGGAGAAAACTCGGTTAACAGAGTTGATGGTCAGGGTGATGAGAATAACCGTGAGAATACTGAAGTGAACACGGCTGGAAACAATGTTGCTGCGGCTAATGCTGGGATTGGGAACATGGCGCTGCTGCTGCGGCTGCTGCTGCTGCTGCTACAGCTCCTGTTGGATTAGAGGCGGTGTTAGGCATGCTGGCTCAAGTCTTGCAGAGATTGCCGGCTGCTGCACCTGCCCAACTGAACCCACTGCCGGTGGTGGATGAAGAACCGGCTTTGGAAGAAGTGGAAGCTGTGGCTGCACCGAGAGTTTCATCTTACCTGAAGGTGATGGAGCATATGCAGAAGCTGGGAACTAAGTTCTTCACTGGTGGTGCTAAGCCTATGGAGGCGGATGATTGGATCAATCGGCTGGAAAGGAACTTTGATTCCATCCGATGTCCTGATGGCTATAAGACGGATATTGCGGTCCACTACTTGGAAGGGGATGCACAAGTTTGGTGGAAAGGTGTAGTGACTCGCCGTGATGGCCATGTTACTAGTTGGGGGAGCTTTTGTGCGGAGTTTAGGAAGAAGTACTTCCCACGGGAAGCTTTCATCCGACTGGAAGGTGCTTTCATAGACCTTCAGCAAGGATCTATGACCGCGAGGGAATACGAGGCTGAGTTTAACCGACTCAAGAGGTATGGTGGCCGTGACTTGGAGGATGATGAGAATCAGGTCCGCAGGTTTATGTGCGGTTTGCGAGTTGAGCTGAGCAACCATTGTAAGATCCGAGACTATGCTATTGTGACTGAGTTGGTTGAAAAAGCAGCTGAGCAAGAAGCTGGGATGGCTGAGGAAGCTCGATTACTTGGCTCGGTCTCTCAGACTAAAACGAGGATTGCTGCTGGGAAAAATCAGAGGGTTATGAGGAATGCACCCTCGGCTAAGACAACGGCATGTGTTATGTGTGGGAAGATACACTCCGGTGTTTGTAGGATGAAAGCCGGGGATTGTTTGCGTTGTGGTAGTACGAGTCACCAAGTCCGAGACTGCCCTGTAGCGGATAAAAGGGTTTGTTACAATTGTGGAGAAACCGGACATTTCAAGGATAAGTGTCCGAAGCCAGTACAACAGCAGGCCGGGAAACGGGCAAATGACGGACAGTATCCGCAGGCAAAGAGGCAGGCTATAATGCCGCGGGTATACTCCATCGGAGAGGACACTGCCGAGGGAAGCACTTCCTGTCCGATCCCTGGTAAGCTCTAGTCCTTTTCCTTAGAATTTCTCGGTGAAAATGCTTGTTGCGTGATAGGATAGGTTCTTAGCATTCGGATAATGTGTAGGGACCTTAATCATGGGTGGTGTGGCAACCCATGTATTGTTTGACTCTGGGGCATCGCATTGCTTTGTTCACCCGGATGTAGTCGGATCCGGTGAGTTCCTGAGAGAACCCGGTGATGATTTTGGTTTAGTTCAAGCAGCCGGTGGTCAAGTGATGTTTACCCTGGGGAATATCCGAAACGTCTCTGTGATGATCGGAGAGGTGAACATGCTGGCTGACTTGGTGATTTGCAGAGTGTAGTCTTATGATGTGATCCTCGGAATGGATTGGCTCGGGAAGCATAAGGCACATCTAGACTGTCACCGAGGCAGAGTTCAGTTTGAGTCGGATAAAGGAAAGCTGGTGTATCAGGGGATCCGATCAACGGATGGGAGC